TCAGGTTGCTTCCAGACTTCGCCACGGACAACGGTGCTGGTCCAAACACTCCTGTGTGTACCTGTAAGAACTCTGGTGTAAGAAACACCCAGCAGTGGAATTACTGGGTCATAAGGCATGCATGTTTTTAATTCTATTTATGGTGCCAAATGGTTTTACCAAAGTTGTCATGTCAATTTAGATCACTGTTGGCAACAAGTTGCTTTTTCAAAATTTTGTTCTTTGGAAACCCAGAGAGTCAGTAGAGGCACTTGGTCTTTTTCCTCCAAGTTTTAAATGGTCTGTGATTTAAAAAATAATGACTATTCCATATTTGCAATAAAAAAACATGGTGACAGATGCCAAATTGTAGTCTATGAGTAATTACCATGGGACTTAACTTGTCTTGGGAGATTAACTTGTTCAATGCAGAGATTTTTCTATCATCTGGTGCGCATATATTTGAACTTGGTATAAAAGGAAAGAAATAAAGACTTGGCATTTTCCTGCTGAAAAAGGTGCCCAGTTCTGTTCCTGTGAACTGGCCTTAATCTGAAATGGGCTTAATTACATTCTTAAAAAGAGGAAGGAAGGAAGGAAGGAAGGAAGGAAGGAAGGAAGGAAGGAAGGAAGGAAGGAAGGAAGGAAGGAAAGACGGAAGGAGTGAGTTCTATAAAACAAGACCTCAATCTTCCCTCCAAAGATGAATAAAGAAATTAAGGCTGTATTTTATTTTTCCTTGAAAAACTCCAATGTCTTGAATTTCAGCCATACCAGTATATCTGGAAGATCATCTGAAGGGCTGAGAGATTCATCACTCCCACATTCAAAACTCCTTTGATGTATAAAATCTACATTTCTGTAGAAAAACAGCAAAATAATAACACTATGAATTAGTGCCTTCTGCTCAGATGAGTTATTTAATGCTGAAGACCCTATCTGAAGATTGCTCCCATTCATCCTCCATGTCTTGGATGGGGCTGGCGCTCTATACAAATCTGTTTACTGTTAACCTAGGCATCTCTGGCTGTGAGCAAAGGATAAAAAAGTAACACATTTTAAAGTTTCTTTTCAAAAGGGGAGATGGAGAGATGTGGGGGGGAAGGGGGAAAGTCAGGGACGCTCCCTGCCAGGCAGAAGGTCACCAGCAAGGAAAACCGTGTCCGATGTCACATTTGAAACCAACCACCACACTCAGGAGCTGTTACTCAGGGGGCCCGTGCTGGGCTCTGACAGTGGATGCTAAGCACAAGACCCCTCCAGTTCAAAGGTCAGCGGCCTTGGGGAAGGAGCTCCCCAAGCTCCTTCAAGCAGTGGCGTGTGCTCCCCAGATTCCCAGCCGGCATTCAGTGGGGCCCTTCTAAGAAAAGCTCAGGACATGTCAGCACCATGCACAGGTAGCCCGCCTTGCTCATCACGACTGTGGGCAGCCTTGGAACATGGCTACCCAAACCTGGAAACTAAAGTCAAATAAGAATTCTCCCGTTCCGCCTAGGGAAGGACACCAACTGAGGTAAACATTTCCCGATGGAGCCCAGCCCCTTCTGCACGAAGGGCCGTGTGAGAAGGCACTCAGTGGGCAAGGACATTCAAAAGGTATTTACATAGCCCCCAAAAGCAGTCCTCTATACAAACTAGGCGAGTGCAGCTTCCCTGTTCTAACCACTGCCAGGGCTCCACTGATCCAACCCAGAGCAAGATCAGATTTTTTTGTTAACTGAAGGCCTACACACATAGTAACGAAGAGAAAGCCCTCCGCCTGAGTTGGAGCCATGGAGCCATCAGCTGTCAGCTCCCCACGACCCTAAGTTACTTGACTTCCCCGATCCTCACCTTCCTCCCTGTTGGAAAACGCAGAAAGCCTGAACTTTCCACCAGATCTGCCTTCCAAGCCTGTTCTTTCAACCACTGCACTGGCCTGCGGGACTGTTCCGGATACTTGAAACAGCGCCTTGCTCAGGGAGCTCACTATGGCTCCTCGGGCCGGCTGATTTATCTCCGGGAGTACCTTCTTCCATCAAAACCATGGCAGCTGAAGTTGAACTCGGAGGCCCGAGAGGAACGGCTGTCTCCACGGAGCACGACACTTGCACTAGCCAACCCGTTGGGTCTGGAACGGAGGAGCACCCACCCCTTTCATGAAGAGACGAATAAATGCTGTACGTTGTGTCCCCGCACAGAACACCACACTCCACTGTGGAAGCCACTCGGGTTGACCCTGTTGTCCACCAGGCAAAGGCAGCTCCAAAAACAGGAACCTCTGCTGTTTTAGAAGCTGAGGTGCAAAACTGTGGTCGACATACAAAATCTTAACGGATTAGCTTGACAAACTTTTTCCATTGTCCAGAGAGGGTCATAAGGCTTATGTATCTAAGTACCTTAAGTGAGAAATCCCAGTTATCTTATGACGCTGTAGAGAGTTTCACAACACTTCTGAAATAGAGGTGTAGGTTACTTAGAGCTACCAAGTAAGTGTCCTAAAGAAGAGGCTGGGCCACTGTCCATTCAGGGTTTGTGGGAAGTACGGCCTTCTAATGGTGGCCCGTCCTGACCCAATACATTCAAAATCCAAACATTTTAACACTATGTAGCCAGACAAAACACAACCGGAAGTCACAGAGGCCCACTGCCCCACAACTGGCAAACCTTAGCTCAACGGGAGCTCCGCTCCACTGCCCCTCAGGGTAATCCTACAAGCCAAAATGACCACAGGGATGGCTGAGGTGGCCTCGGGAGATCGGGCTGCAACGCAAGCAAACTAGGTTCCAGGAACAAGAGTAACCAAAGGTCCAAAGCAAAGTCACCGCAGCCTTTAGGACTGGCTACAAGTGGCAGAATCCAGGACCACAAAAGTTCACCCCAAAAGCAACTACACTTGAATCTACCCTCCATGAACTTGGACTCCTCTCCCTTTCTGCCCAGCTCTGCTCCACCACCGAGCTGAAGTGCACGCCGACTCCCCCTGAGGATGCTGGGCCACAAGGAACAGGTACCAACTCATGTCTGGGTCTGAACACACCCCATTGACTGGGAGAGCCGTGGACAATCAATGCATTTAGCAAGTGCATCTGGCCCTAAAGTGAGAGAGTGAGTCTGTTCCTGTGTGTAAATGCCAAGTTGCAGTAGGTTACCATGGCAACTCCAGCAGGGTGCTGCAGTGGGCAGCTCTGCACGGAGGTGCAGGAAACCCATTCTTTACCATGTGGGCTTTGGCTGTGCCCACTGGATCCTAGGAGGCCCATCGTGGCATCAGGCCCTCACTTTGGGATTCTGCAAAAAGAGGAAGTGGAATGTGACCACGCGCTAGTCTAATCTTCCCTTTTTCATGTACCACTCCTGCCCCTCTTCAGCACAGCAAACAGTACATGTGGTTCCCCAAACAGGCTCTTTAGAAACGCATAATTCCCTAACCTCGTTCTCATGGACTGTGATGAACAGATTGCACTTGCGTATCAGCAGGGCTTCGACATGGTATGTCCATCCACTGAATAACCAGCATATGTACAATCTCGCCATCCTCAGTCAGCCCCCCAGTTCTTATTATGTTATCAGGATGCTCTGAACGCAAAAATAAATCATGCCATCAAGGGTGTAGGTTGGGCTTAATGGAACTATAAACCAACTTCTCAAAGGCCAGGCAATTGCAGAAATTGCTTTTCCATGGAGGCGGGAAGTAGGAATCTACTCACCCACTTCTTAATGATTTCGGTGTGAAACTCTCTCTTGTGCATGAGGAGAGGTTGGATACCATTCTGCTTGAGGCTCTGAGCTACCTAGGGCCATCGGGAAGCCAGATTCCTGAAAAGTGAGCTCTAGGTTGTAGGAACTCGAGTAGCTAGGGCAGGCTCCTAGCTACTGTCTGCATTCTTTTTTCTTGAGTCTAGAGACTTACTTGTGGTTATCTCTGAATTCCCTCCTGGGCAAAATAAGAATGATTTACAGCATCACTAAAGAAATGGATTGCAAGGTGGGTATACCCAGCAGGGAAAAGTGAGGGAAATTGGGGTTAACGAGGTCACCTGAACCTGTGAGGCTTTGCAAGGGGCTGAGGCAGGCTCACAACACCTTTGCAGCTTGGTTATGAAGACGAGGGGGTGGTTGGAAGAGAGGTCCAGTTTCCATTACCTGAAGGAGTTTGGTAGCCTAAGAACATTAAAACCGGGGTACCAAGAGAGCCATGTAAACAGACAAACACACAAAGGGAGGAAGGAAGGAAGAGCCTCTTGCCCGGGTTGGCCAGGTGTGCAGGAATGCCGGGGCTGCCTCCGCTGTCCTCGAGAACAAAGAGGATATACCCTTACTGATAGAGTCTACCTGATGAGTTCTTTACCCAGGGCATCGGGAGGTGACAGGGGAGATGTGGAGGTGGCTGAATGAGGGGCCGTTATACATGTAGGTATGAGGTGGGACTTGTTAGGAGGGACACCAGGGGTACAGGACACTGGGGTGATTCGAGGGAAGAAGGCCAGAGAGAGTGTCAGTCCCCTGGGCACTGACTCTCAGCAAGTGAAGTACAGAGGTCCAGCCAGCGCTCTGTGTCCTGCACACGCCTGGCAAGGTGACGAGGGGCTACTTGTTTCCTCCTCCCCGGGGAAACGCGTGGGCGGCGGCGGGTGTTCAGGGCTCTGCAGCGAAGAACTGAGCATGTGGCCAGGGAGTAGGGAGAAGGGCTTATGGGAGCTGAGCTGGTGGCAGATCAGAAGTGCTGTCCACGCGCTTCCGAATGAAAGCTGGGGGGTCAGGGCCGGGAAGAATTTCAGAGAGGCTCTGGCGACCTGCTCCTTTGAGTCAGGGCAGCTGAAGGAGGCTGAGGGCCCAGCACCCAGGTAGGATGTGGGGAGAAGTCAGGTGCACTGAGGCGCTAGCCTGCGAGTGGGTGTGGGCCTGGAATGGGGCGGATCTACCGAGGTAGGAGTGGGGGAGGGGAGGTCGCCGGCCAGTGGGTGTGTAGAGCGAGCCGAGGTGGGGGGTGGGGGCGCCGGCCAGCGCCTCGGGCCCCCTCGACCTCCCCAGGGACTCACCCAGCACGAAGTAGGGCAGCTCCGTGTTCTCCAGGTCGTCCACCACGACCATTTCGCCCGGGAAGTCGTTGCGCACCGAGAAGAGCAGCTTGGGCTCGGAGGCCGAGGGGCTGTGCATGATGCTCAGGTCGTTCTCGCGCAGGAAGGGCAGCGCCGACACCGTGATGCTCTTGAGCTTGCACTCCAGCTCCTTGGAGGGATCCCCGTCGCCTGCGGCCGTGGCCAGCACCGCCGCCGGCCCCCAACAGCAGGCGAGCAGGGCGCAGAGCCCGGCTAAAGCCATCTTGAGCCCCGGCGCCTTCCTCCCAGCGCCGCGAAGGTGGGGGAGGAAGCGAGCAGGGAGGGAGCGAGCGGGCGCGCGCGGGGGGCGGGGGCGACTGGGGAGGGGACGTGCGGTGGGAGATGCCCTGGTCCCCAGAAGGAGATGCCGCTTGCAGTGCGCGGGGCTCAGGCGCTGAAGCCTGGCCAGCCCGCCCGCGTTCTTTGTTTCTCCCAGCTGCTTATCTGGGAAAGGGAAAAGGGAGGGGGGTAGAAGAGGGGGAAATGGGAAGGAAGGACGAGGAGAGGAAAGAGGAAGGGAGCCGAGGATTCTAGGGAATCAGGTCAGCCCCCGGCAGGTTGCCGGAGCTCTAGCCTTCCTCCCCTTCCCGTCCTTCGGGAGGAGCTCACTCCTAGCTGTCAACCACCTGCAGGGCATTTTAAAAAGTCCGTCTTTGCTATGCAAAATCGTCCCTCTTTCCTCACCAGCATCCTGCTGGCTCCGGAAGGGCACAGGCAGGCACACACCCCAACAGGCCTTCCTCAGAGCAGGGTGGAAAGGGGGGCCTCTCTAGATGCAAATCCATCCCCAGTTATTTTGTGGGTGTAGGTGGTCACATTCCTGTCTTTTTAACCACTCTCTGGATTTGCATACTGGATAAGCCGCTGCTGGGATAAATGCACTGTGTATTCTTTACCCAGCACCAACTTCGCAGAAATAAAGAAAATACTAGTTATATAGATATAGGCAGATGGAGAGGTAGATATGAACAGCAAAGAACCAAGTCACCCTACTGCACACAGTTAAGCAGGAGACCAGAACTTTCCTTTGCAACTTCTCTGTTTCATTTCCGTTATAAATGTTATCTGTTGTAACCAATACGAAGATGACTTGGGGGAGGCTATACGTGATAGAAAGAGTAGCACCCACTCCAAAAAATGTCGAGCCTTTAACTTTACAGAATCCAGTAACTACAATGGGGCTGGAAGTAAATGAGGCAAACTAAAGTTTCTCAGCGCTCTTTACAAATGGAAAAGGAATAAGAGAGTATCCTTGGGTGTGGGCCAAGTCTATCTCAGCCCAATTGAAAGTAGAACTAACAGGTAGACAAAAGCAACAACAATAACAAACTACCTGTAAGTTTGGTTCCCATTAGTGCTGGGCTGTGTTGCCTTACAATGCTAACAGTATGAGTAAATAGTGATAGGAAATGATGTCTCTGTGTGCTGGAATCTGGTCTTTAGCTGAACTTGCCCTTGCGTGATAACCAACAACTTTTTTTGAAAAGCGTGCCTCTCCATCATCATGGACGCCCTGCTGATTTAAATATTAGGTGCTGTAGATCGTCACAGGTAATTCCTACTCTCTAGAAGTTTAATGCACCACGCTCTTCAAAGAGGACCCCAATTTAGAAGCAACTTCACTCATATTCTACCTGCGGTCAATTTATGGGCATATGCCAGTGCATGTTGTTAAAAAAATAAACCTTTGCCACATAGTTGCACAAAGTTACTCGAGTTGATGGATGGGAATAGAGAAAATGAGTCATATTTACAAAAACAAAACAAAACAAAACTTTATCGCAAGTCTGAATCTAATGTGCCTGAGAATTAACCCAGAGGTGTGTTTCCATGGAGCAGTGCAAACAGCTGCAAAACAGATGTATGAGCTGCTGACCTTTCTGGAGCTCATCCTCACCTTCATTGCTCCCCTAGGAGGCAGCGAGGTAGAGAAAGACTCCATGACACTGTTTTTCCTACTCTCGCTAGCGTAACAAGCAGTATTAAACTCAGCTCTACGAGGTTCGCCCTCGAAAAATCAGGGTGAATGCCAGGAAAAACACACTTATTCCCAGGATGTGAGAAATGGGGAGAAACTACCAGATCACCAACTAATCCAGTTTCTCGTTTAACAGATGAAGAAATCCAGACCAGGGGTGCTTTACCCAAGACCAATCTGCTAACAAGAAGCGAAGACCACGAGATTGTTTGTGCACAGTGCTCTTTCCGCCACACGGTGATGATACATCTAGGAGCACCCCGGTGATCACTGTACTTTATGGGTCAGAGTAACTGATTCAATGAACATATGTGTACCCGCCACAGGCCGGATGTTAGGCTAGGCAAGGACAGAGACTAGAAGAAAAATACTCCTTTGCTTTTGAGTAGCACATAATCAATGATCTTGAAATCTTTCTAATTTTCTGAAGTGTCTTGAGTCATTTTAGATAACCCGAGTGAAACACTGGAGGTTGATTTTCTGATAAGTTAATATCTAGCATTCTGTGTCTGTCTATCGTCATTTTCACATGCTTTCTCAATGACACAAGAAAAGTAATACATGGATAAAATGGCCATGTTAAACTATATGTGTAGGTGGAAATATTTGGAAGTTGGTGTCAAAGCCTTTATAGGCTTCTTTCTCCATGAAATAGTGGAGCAAGAAAACTGTACAAATAAAAGAAGATAGTAGTTAGTCTGAGCACTGGGTTCCTGTAAACTTGAATACCATGTCACATGGCATTCTCTTCAGGAATTAAACACCTATAGAGGGAAGAGAAGTTGAAGTTCACAGAAGCCAGCCCAGCTGTACTGTGTAGTGCTTTACATTTACATGGGACTGGGAGAAATTTCTATGCATTTCAGTCTTTACCTTTGTGTACAGCCAAGACGATGCAGGGAAGCCACAGAACTGGGTTCAAGTCTCAGCTCCATAATTTGCCTATTTGGAGGTGAGCCTGGACCGTTCTTATCTCCAGTGTCCTCCTCCATGAAATGGGGTCAGTGATCTCTGTCCACCCCATAGGCTTGAGATAATACGAGGGCAAGTGTTTCTGTTCACTAGGACACTGTCAAGTATCAGTTTCTGTTATCCCCCATCCTGACTTTCTTCTGACACCCAGCTCCCCGCATTCAAGTAACAATGGCCTTGCTCCTTGACTCTCAATAGCTCCCAAACGCTTCCCCTGATAAGATCTTCAGGAAATCTTGCTTTCTTATGCCATTCTAAAGGTTTCCCCTTCCGTGGGAAGAAGTTCAAGCATGGCTTAGAAATTTAAAAGCTCTTCCAAATCTCATGCTTATTTATTCTCTTAGATTTATTGCTTACTACACTATCCTTCCCCCTCCCACAACACACATACATGACCCAGCCAGATTAAAGCCCGCTTTTCATTTTTACTCTTCCCCTGCATTTGGTCTCCCTGGAACATACCACTTGAGGTCTCCAGCTCATCCCATCCCTGCAGGCCACATCCAGCTTCATCAATGCAGTGAGATCTTCCTCATTTCCTTTTCTCAGAGCTCCTCTCATGGGGGATTTACACACACACACACACACACACACACACACACTACCTTAGGAGGCCAAGGGCTATTTTTTTACACACTGTATTACAGTCGATATTCCCATTAGCAAAATAGAAACAATAAAACATGCTTTTTAGAATAGTTGTGAGAAGGAAATGAGATTACGTAGAAAGCGGCTGCCATATTTTAGGTATTTAGTTGGTGCTCAGTGTGATAGCTTTTGCTATTATCTGCTTATTCAATTACTTCGGAAAGAATGGAGGTTTCAGAGTCTTCTGCGTGAGATTTTTCTCCCCCCCATGTAGTAGCCAGAAGCAAGTTAAGTGATTTCCACTCTTAGCTGAATACCCAGGATAAATGATTGCATGTCTACCAAAAGACATGTACAAGAACATTCAGGCCAGGTTTACTCATAATAGACCAAAAAATGGAAGCAATCCAAATATGCCTGAATTGGAGAATAAATGTCGTATAGTCGTGGAACAAAATGCTACACAGCAATAAAAAATAAACATGCAATGACATGGGTGAATCTCACAAATTGATAAATGAAAGGAACCAGAAACGTGAGAGTGTATAGTCTAAGACTGTATTTATGGAATTCAAGAACAGATAACATTAATCTTTGAAGATGCAAATCACAATACTGGTTATGACTGGGGAGAGAATGTTTAACAGAAAAGGGCGGGACAAACTTCTTGGAGAGCCAGAAATTATGTGGATAGTGTTTACCCTGACACATATATAGGCAAAAAGTCATCAAACTGTACACTTGTAAAAATTTTTAATGTATATTAAATCATATTTTTACAGGGCTTAGGAATCCTTAGGAGTAGAAAGTACAGGCAATTTTTCCCCAGTTGTTTTCTTGTCTCCTAACTTCACCCCCTTTTCTTTTCCCTTAGAGTTGGAAAATTTAACTTTCTTTCCACTGAAATTGGTAGCAATTTGTTCAACTACTTCTTCCCTTTCCTCACTTCTTCCTCCAATTTAATAAGAGTCTCAGCACTTAATGTCTTATCACCTGGGACAAGCTCAGGGAGCCTCTGTCACTAAGAAGCACAGGAGTAAATAGCAGTTGGACAGCAACAGATTTAGGCTGTCACTGGTTGAGTTGGATATTTTATCCAATAGGAGAGCTGGAGACCCTCGGGGACCACCACTCTGAAACACTTTGTAGCTTAGGCAAACGAATACCTACGGGATGGAGAAGGAGGGTCAAACCTGTGTAAGACACAGAGGAGGGAATAGAGGTGAAAGTGATGGGTGGGTGGGACTAAGGGTGTGCAAACGAGGACCATTTCTGATTTTCCTCCATTCATTAAGAACACTGGATTCCTTGATGCTTTATAGCTAATCCTGATTAATATTACTTTGATGTTTATTAAACCTCTGCATTCTTTTATTTCCTCAACAAAACGATCTTTTGATGTTGCTCTTCATTTAAGGAACTAAATCAAACACTTCTCTTCCTTTCTGACTGTGAATTCTTTCTATATTTCTCCCACCACATGACCTTCTGTGAAACCCCCAAATTCCTTTGCCAGCTCCAAAACTCTGAGCTCTTGCCAAAAATTTAGTGTAGCAAGGTAGGTAGCTGGGCATCATTCAGTTTTGCATCCTCATGTGGACATAAAGGATATACTTTACACCCTTTGATTCATAGTTAACATTTTCCTCTCTCTCCCCCTCGCCCCGCCCCCGCCCCGCCCCCAC